TTTATGTTCTCCATTATAGCTTCTTTTTGTTTCAAACGATATTTTTCAATTATTTTTTTATTGTATATTTTAAGTTGTGTCAACCCAATTAGATCATTGGCAGCTACTTTAAGTTATGCAGATGAGTTATCTATGTATATGATTATATCGTGTATTCCTCAGTTGTGGATGGTTGATTAAATTAAGTGTAGTATTTTGATTAATTTTAGAAATTTTGAAATGTTACAATATGAGTGAACTGTTCAAGTTACTTTTTTAGGGTTTTCGTTCATTTGATATTTTCTTCTCTACCTTTGGTATGTAACGCACAATGTCTTTGATTGAGTTCATTGTGTTTTTCAAATTGTTAGTTTATTTCACTACACGGATCGGTGTCAACGAATTGTGGTCGCGTGTACAATGAAATATGTTGTATATAACCATTTTTCTTTGACGATTGTTTAAGGTCATTAACTTATTTTATTGGCTCGCAACCTGCTTCTGCCTTGTTTCTACTGATTGGCTTATCTCCATCCTCTTTCTATCTGCCAGGTTCCCACCTGTCGTCACTACGACTATGTACACTCGTGGAAATTGCAACAACTAAGCCCCGGATACTTATTCAAATTCAACAAATGTTTTTATTTCATTCTTGCTGCATACGAGTATTAAATTTCACGTAAAATATATCGAATGCATGAGAAGAAACGGGAGAGCATGTATAAAGTGAAAAATATATATTTTTAATAACTTACTATATAATATTCTAGAAAATCAACGTATAAAAAGCGAATTGAATATTATTTCTTTTACGAAGAATTTACTTAAGTGAAACTAGAATAGAAGGTTTTTATTAAACTTCGTTATAGTTAATCGTTTTGTGACAATAATGAACCTTCGAAGACTTGAGACTACCTTCAAACTCTATATAACTTTCTTTCCTGCATCAATTATATTACAATATTTAAAAAAACGTTGAATTCTACCGCTGTAAATTACTTTAATCCATTCCCCTAAAAACAGATACAAGTTTATACCCAACAACATACCCGTACTCGCGAAATTGCGCAAATCAAAATCGACTTACACTGTTACTAAATAACGTTTAAAAAGTTCAATATTCATCACACTGATGGTTCTCGTAAATCTAGTGTTAATAATAGTATAAAAACTACAGTCTCGTCCGCAAAAGTTTAATAACTGTCCCGCACACAGTACGTTATTACAGTGATCAGTGATAAGCGTAAAATCCCAAGGTCTAACGGCACGCAGGAAGCTGAAAATCCTTCAACCCCTCGAGTTGAAATTTCCAGCGAATCTGAACACATCTGATCGGAGAAAATTCATTGAAGAAGGGCGACGTTTTTATCCTGGCAACATGCGAGGGAGCCGGCCGACCGAGCGAGCGTCGAGACGCTTTTCAGACTGTCGCAATAAAACGTCCGCCAGCCCCTATCTAATAGAACCAACACAAGTATATAACACAACCCACACGGCTGACACAGCGTGGCTGTATTTGCATGAGACTGCTATTTACCGGGGAAAATATTTTACGGCGACCATCGTCATCGTGAAAATACAATTTTTCTCAATAACAATTTCTGCATCCGTTTTGTCCTCTGTAGCCAACGGCGAGTCACTTCAACGCCCAACGAATAAAACGATTCGACGCCACGCGTCTTTGGTTTCTTGTTATATTAATTAAGATTAAACATATTGTAAGCGAACCGCTTGGTGTATTATTTATTCTTGCTGCTAAGCTAACATTTTACTATCGACGAGTTGGAAGAAACGAGATATTCTTCATTCTACTGTAAGTGCAAATTTACTTTGAAGATAATGAATTGGTAATAGCAAATTAGTTGTTTGCTTTGATCTGTTGATTAATATTTATTGAGTTAATTTGGAAATCTTGGAATCTTTGGAAATCGCGAGTTTCACTTGTCATTGTAATGCAAGGGGATGAAGTGAATGATTCTAATTATACGAGTAAGTAATTTCGAATTATTCAGCTTGAAATGTAGTAATTTATCTCGGTACATTTACAGCAAAAAATAGTTATACAGACGAGTAAAAAGCTATGGTTCAATATTAATATTCATCAAATGCTACAATTGTTTATCGTTATAATTTTTATAATCTGTTCTAAGTACAAGAATTGATATAAGTCGCTTGTACGAGTAAAAGAAGTTGTAGGAAATTATGTTCGTAAATTATAGTACTCTAGATGTATAAACAGAGTACGATGTTCCTCCACGGAAGCTACTATGATCAGTTTTTCGACGAAAGATCTCTGAAATACACCGACAGTCGTAACAGCTGTCCACCCTATTTCAAGCAGCTGAACGTTATCAGTCTGCAGCGATTGTCCTGGAGTAGACAGCTATTGTGACCACTGACATATCTCGGAATTCCTTTTACGAAAAAGCAACTCTTAATGCGTATTGTAGTTTCCAATCTGAGCATCGAGGAATGGAATACATGTAGCAGAAATTAAATTTTCTATAAATATAAAACTTGAACGTTGTATGAGAGACTTGATTCTGTTTGAAAACGAATATTAATATTGAAAGTGAAATATTGAAAATAGCAAAATAGCCTTTCACTTTGATACATGTGCAATGAAGAACACTGATCTTTATTAAATTAGTCTCGGAATTTTCATCACGAGTCTCACCATAATACAGCAAAGGGTTAATAATCATAGTAATAATTATATCAGAATATATTACAGTTTAATAATACCCCATATTAAATTACGATTTAATTAAATAATGTTGTCTAAACGAATCTAATCATTCTACTCCCCTTTATTTCATAAAATAATATAGACACATTTTTAAATAGAGAAAAATATTAATTAATATTTTTACTTTACCTTATATTAGTATTTTACTTATAATATTAATTGAAATATGCACAAAAAATGTTATATATATATATATATAACAATATCAATACAAAAAATGGAAAAAAGAAATAATAGAATAATTTTTCGCTAATCCACCTTTTACACTAATCCGCGCCTCCCAATTAAAAAATCGCCAGACGAAGGTCAAGACCAGTCAACGAGCTCACGGAATTGCAGGAAGTTTTCGTTGAACGGAAGGCGAATTTTCCCGCGAGCAGACTGCCGTTTTCCGAGAGACTTTCCCTTCGCTTGTTCAGGCCTCTTCTTCGTTCATCCGTTTCGCCGTCCTCGTTATACGTACGAGAACGACGCGTGAACAAGGCCTCTCCCGCGTCCGTTGCACCGAGTATTCAGGGTTTGTTGCTTCGTTAATTAGATCGCCCGCGACAGTTTCGTCGCGGACGATCTCCAGCAGCCGGAGAACAGGTCTCGACGAATGCCTCCGACTCGACGGATAGACATTTAAATTCGCGGCGTCTAGCCGTGTTTTATTTCTCCGTTAATGTCGCCTTTCTCAGCGTGCCACGATCAACCGGGGATTGAGACAAAGCTGATTACTAACTATTTAACTACAACGCACAGTGTCTGTGTCACAGTGCCTCATTACCTCACGATCGGAATTTTCCAACGTTTGGAAGTGTTTCTCCAAAGACAATCATCTTGATGAATTATAAATGTCACAGTAAGTTCGATTGATTCATATTATATACATATGTTTTGAAAAAATACGATGTACAAACGTTATCCGATGAGGTCGAAAGATCTGCGCGGAAAATCTGGTTTAAATACCGGGAAAAGTTCGCATGGTTTCCTTGTTAGCGATGAATTAAGGTAAAATCCCGATGCAAGGTATAACGTCGACTAAGTTGACTTTTTCCTTGAATTTCATTTTCATTTTAGAAGAAATAAAACTCCATTTCTAAGAATATTTGTCAGCAGTTTCCCCAGTGTGTATGGCAAAGTATAATTGTTTCTGGTTAAAAGCCATATTAGTATCCTTTATTATTTCAATATCTGCCGAATTGTGGAAAATTTTCTACGAGCTAATTTAAGGTAACTTCTTAGTCTCCCAGAAATACAAGAATGTCTCAAAATATTTCTGAAACGAACGCAAACATCACAAAACTGACGGTGTCAGTCGCAACGCAAATGCGCGCAGTTGTGTCGTTCAATCTCCATTTAAAAGCGGAACAAGCTTGCTGCGCTAACAAAATAATCGCAAATAAATACAAGCTTGTTTACGTCGAATCAGAGTTCCAACTGAGCACACGCGCCGTTCATTCAGAATACGACTGTTACGCAAATGGCCGAAGCAGCCAAACGGCTGAGTCGCGTACAAAGGAACACCCGGCAAATGGAAAATTAATCGTGATTTTTTTTTTAAATTTTCGCTTTGTACGAGACCTGATTAGAAGTGTTAGATAATTTCCATTTCCATTACCTTTTGGTACATCAGAACAAGAACATCCCTCAAAGGTTACTGCGTGTTCTTTTATTTTCACTTAGTTCTCGGATAGGTGCCACCTGTAACAAACAGAAAACAATCATTTGAATGAAAATGTAATTCAATGATTTTCTATGTTCTATAAAAAGCTCTTGAGTGTGCGTTTAATAACGTGTGCTAAAAACGTCATTTTTGACGTGATTTAACACGTTCGCGACCGCTGATGTAAATTCGCGTCTTTTCAAATGTTATTCCTGGTTGCTGCTAATGTGAATTTAAGTCTTTTCAAATATAATAGCTTCCAAAATATTTTATTCTTCTGCTATTCTCCACTTGCGACTTCTTCGATGGAAAGTTTCAAACGACAGATCGTTACAAGTCTAACATTTCAAAAGAAATTTTCTCATGATTGCCCCTGCTTTAACATCAGTAATTTGTATTTCCTTTTCTAACAATATAGTTTAAGGACATCTGACGTTGTGATGCCATTACACACACGTAAATAACGGTCTTAACTCTCGATTATTTGCACTTGTGTACTGATCTTTGCTATAAATATATTTCTGTATCTTCTGAAACTGTGTACAAACTACATAATCTCAAATTATTTTCCCATAAAAGCGTTATAAAATTAATTCATATTACGGCAAATTCTTTACTCAAATAAATTTCAGACTGATTCAATTAACCCTTAGCACTCCAGGTTGTTTTGTAATCTATCAGCAACTAATTTTTATAGCATTCCTAGCGAAAATGAGAGATGCTATAACATTTCTTCGATCTTTTATTTTCCTTCTTAGTAGAAAATTTGGATGTGTGGAAAATCTAATAATCCTAGGGTAGTTTCTTTAAGATTCATTAAAATATTTAACGTTATAACTGGTGCAATATTGGAGCCTACAGAGTTTAAAGGGTTAAAACCATACAAACACATAGAGCGAGAAATATTGGTTAAAAACAATGGACTATCGCGTTACATAGAGACGACGTAAATCGGAGCCGCAGTGTACTTCGCACTACATCGGGGAGTACAAATGGGCATAGAATGTACCGAGAATTTGTCTTTTGTTTTCAATAAATTATTAACGACAAAGCAGTCACGTGAATGACGGTCGAGATATAAATCAAATGGTTAACCCCAAGACGAAAGTTGACGAATTTTTCTCGAACGTCTTATCCCACTAGCCGTTCGTCGACCCGCATCATCTCGATGTTCCCGAAATCGAATGTTTCGAAGCCCGCGTATCAAATGGAACCGCTGCATTCCGAGTCGTCAGAAATACGAGACCTTTCGGTCGGCAAAAATAGAACCGAAACACGTTCGCCTTCTTTCCGTCTTTTCCGGACTCTATGCGGTTGATGTTACTTCTAAACGTAGCACGGTCGGCCGCCACTCGAGGCAATTAAATGCGGAACATGATTCACGGGACGATCTGCAGCATCGTGATGCAACGATCCTTTCTAAGCAGATAAATACGCGTCGGCTTAGCGACGTTGTAGACGTCTTTGTAGAAAATAAGAAAATAAAAACTCGAGGGACCCACTCTTCCGACGCTGACACTTGTGTCAATAGCCTGACGCCAAGCGTCAATAGGTTGAAGGGTAGTTTTGTGTATGCGTCGATAAGAACTGCCGCGTATTCTATTTTCATAAGAGAATTGCGCTGCGAACAGATGGATTTATTTGAATTCGAGTGTTCCCGAATACGCTAATTCCGTAGGATGATATGCCTATTTTCGTACGCGAGAGGACTAGGGTAGAGTCATACGGCACCGAAGCTAGTTTTAATCCTTATCGAACGTCAGATTTTCAAACCTGATTTACCGCTGGATAGATACTAGTTCAACGTTAACAATTGCAGTGTAATAATTAAATTATGGATTCTTATGCGTTAATGAGAAATTTGAGAATGTAAAATTGTACAGACTGCTCGAGACAAGAAAAATATATAAAATATTCGAAGTGCAGTGTTTTTTATAGTGTTTATTAGGAAAAACCTTTTTTTATCATAGTTTTATTCTAATTGTGTTCTCGAACACTTGAATTTGTATGAAGATCCGCCGTATATTAATAACTTTTGTCTATTTTGATTTGGTCAGAGTGTGATATTTTTGAAGCAGTCTCCAATGTGGGGGAATAGGTTGTTATGTCACTGAACGAGTGACAAATGCATAAGTAATGCCACGTGGAGAGTGATGTACGTTCGTTCCACCAATAACAATAGCAATTTATTTGAATTAATAAATAAGTAAACATAGCTTCGTGTAATATATTTCGGTAGCAAATTATTTACTACACTATTTTCGATGTTATGAAGCGTTAAATGTACCATGTATGTTTGTATTCAATAAGTTGAAAGATATTTTTCATAACGAATCTTTCATATTACAAATAAGTTAATAATTCTGCTTTAATATGCATGCTATTTCTAATACATTACATACATATAATAAAAATTTGAAATATTTATTGTACAAAACATGCTAAGCTTTAAAATTCATTGTTTCATATGCTTATCGTGCACACCGACCATCCGACTGTCATTCGGATTAATAAAGACAAACTTTGTATTATCTGCAGCAGATGTGCAGCTATATTTGAATGAAAAAATCACTCAGTGTGTAGTTTGTCACGTATCGTTCTAATAAAATTGGATGCACTCTGCGAAATATGAAAGTTAATTAGGCCAAATGCAAAGATCAAGAAAATATTGGTCTTCCCCTTTTCAAGAAAAATGTGAAAAAATGTACAATGCATTCAGTTCTAATCTATTAAAATCTTTAATAACACAATAGACGTGTATTACAAAAGAATGACGTAACAGTATCTCTCGTGTGCTATCCTGCACAATTTTTCACGATCTGCAAAAGGAAACTAAATCGTATGTTTAATTTTGCAACTATATACTTCAGAATTAAGTAGTAATTTTGCGTCACGTTACTATTATTGCATCGTAGTCTATATTTGCAATGCATCCTCACAAGTTGTACTTCAAGTTTATTTCTATCTTCCCACAAGATTTTCTCAGATCTTGTTACATAATACATTATTATAATGGAAAACTCGTAACGATAACAATAGAAGCTTACTAAGCATGATGTTATCTTCCAGAAATCGAAGAAAGAACAAATTTAGTAACTTTAGTTAGAAAAAAAGTTTTGAAAAAGAAGAGTATTAATTTAAAATATTGGCGCCGTTTATATATTGTCTGTTAAGAGATAGTTAAAGGAATAATATAAAATGCAGAAATAAAATTTCGTTACACTACCGAGTAAAAGTTTGCATATACTCTATGAAATTAAAAAAACTAATACATATAAACTTGTTAAATTGTAGAAATTATTATTGAATGTCTACAAGTAATTTCATTATTTTATGAAAAAGAAACAATAATAAACAACCATAAATTCCGCCGTGAGTAATTAATTATCAGCATAGGTAATTATCGATGCATTGGTCACGAGGTTTTTCTGTGGTCGATCTCCTTGCAATCATTAAATTTTCCACTCGCCCACCAGGTGTCCATTGAATGAACAGCTTTGGTGGAAAATATAAGCGAGGAACAAGCGATTAGCAGCGCTGTGTTGCATGATAATGCACCTAATACAATTAGTAAGCTCAATTATTTCTATATTTTTGTTAATATAATTCGGAAACTCTATAATATCCACATTATTGTTAATACAATTCTTAAATCCAATTTACTTCCATATTTGTTCCAGTCTAATTCGTAAACCTAATTGTTTTCATATTTTTCTAATAGAATTCGTAAAGCTAATTACTTCCATGCTTTTGCTAATATAATTCGCAAACTCGATTATTTGCAGATTTTTCCCAGGTACTGAAATTTTTATGTTCCATCACCTGAACGTATAAATCAACGGTCGGACAAATTCCTGGATAAAGTACCTACTTCCCAATGCCGAACCAGTCACTTGAGAGGATTAACTCTAAAGAGACTGGTAGCCAAGGAGCAAGACAAAAAGATTCCATGACTCAAGGTAAAGATAATGGACTCCGAGTTGTAAGTCATTAGTCATTACGTTGTCCAGTTATATGCTCGCTGGAAACTGGCGATGTTGATCGTTCCCAGCGTAGAAACAATTAAACGAGTTTTCTAGTAGCCAGAAGTGCATGTTACATTCGTCGGAATGCCTCATCATTTCTTAAGTTGAGAATTGGAAACTTTTCGAGAAATTGAATTGCTCGAAAGCTGAAGACAAAAAGAAGAAAAGGTTTTCCTAAGAAACACTAATCGTCCATTGAATGGTGGAGTACATAAAAGAAGCCATAAATTATTGGGCAGTATAATTAGTGGACTGTGAATTTTTATGCAAATTCAAATTTTTATGAATGTAATTACGGAAATCGTATTACAATGGAAAATCATTTTTTCTAGCAAACATTAAAAAGCACTATAATTCATATACCTATATAATATAGATTTCGTATACCTTCTCATGCCAGTTGCATTGCATGCAAATTTGCACTCTCAAATTGTTCATAAATCTTCACTTAATATTACGACTTTATTTTACAATAGTTCATCAATTCATCATCCATATGATAGCAGTATATCTAAGAATTTCGATATAACACAAAAATTATAATAATTCCAGTATAATAATCCCTTTATTAGTTTATATACACATATATTTATTATATAACAGCCAAGAAAAATTTGACTTTCGTCACATAAAAAGGAAAATAAAAATCTTATAAATCTCCAATTGTAACATTACAAGTAAGTGTATACATACATTTTTATTTTCTGAAAAGTTATTTTCTAAAAACTTTCGTTCATTGATACTTTCCATCGGTTCGAAGTACGACAATGAAACACACAGTAAGACTTTTAAAAAGTTTCTAGGCTAGACTTATGGAGGCGTAGTTTGATCCAACATCGATGCGTTTGCTGTAAATTATTCCCTCGGCTTATCGTTGACATGCGATGTTATCGATCAACCGATTAAACATTGTTGCGATAATAACGAAGCCCTATCTTACCGCGAAAATAGATAACAACGACGAAAGCGAGCCCAACGAATTTGAAAGCATAGTATTCTTCGAGTTACATTTT